CGTCGCTGGGATCCGCCTCTGCCTCGCGGGAGAGGAGCGCCGACGGCGACGATCCAGCTGCCGAGGTGTGGTGACGGGTGGAATTGGGTGTGGCAGCAGTTGTCGTGGTGGAGGAGGAGGCTGAGGTGGGAGTCGTAGTGCTCGAAGTCCGCGGATCTATTTTGATTTGTGATGGTAGTATAATTTGTGATGATTTTTGGGGATCTGGATCACTGATGATTTGTGGATTAGCGATGATTTTTGTGGATCTGTTTTTGTGATGATTTCTGGATCTGTGATCAATATGCAAGCAGCAAAAAAAACAATGAAAAAAGGAAAAAAAAATAATATTTAGTCTCGGTTAGTAACACCAACGGAGACTAAAGATATCCTAGATTTGTGGTGTCGGTTTGCAACTCGGGACTAAAGATCATTTGTCTAGCAGTGATATTAAGTGGTATGATGTTAGTCTAATAAACCTACATACTCATCTTTACTAATATATATAAAAAGGAGGAGTTATTCTCTTTGCTAGATGCACCTAGGAGAACCTACACAAAACTTCCTATCTCTTTTATCAGCCATTCGATCTATTCATCCAACGGCTAGAAACGGATGTAGATATCTTTGTGATAACAATGCGACAGTGAAATCACCGATTCCCCATCCAGCCGAGCGGATGTGCGCCGCGCTATCCCCACGCACCGAGCAATAACACCGGACCATGATGCGCCTCACATCCTCCCCTAAGTAGTGGCCAGGTCATCTCTTCCACCGTCGTGTGAAGGCATGGTCTCAGGGAAGGCCACTCGTGGCCATGAGCATGGAGACAACAGAGTGCTGTGACATGGCTGCGGCCTGCGGGAGAGGAGCCTAGGGTTTCACGAGAGCGTGTGCTGGTGTGGTGGAGTCGACCGGTGGCCGCTCTGTCGCTCTGTTACATTGCCTGTTGGCCGTCGTTTCACTCGTCATTCGCTAAATTGGAAGGTTGTGGCTGCTATTGATTTGAACCGTGACAATGGAGGAAGCCTCGGGGCAGTTGGCGAGGTAAATATTTGACGCCGTTGATTTATTAAAATATATTTGACCGTTCGTTTCTGTTACTACTTAAAAAATTTATGATGTTTTTGTCGTCCGTCTAACTTAAAAAAAAGAGCGATCCTGAAAAGAAAAACGCGGCAACAGAAAAACAAAAGCGAATCGGAGGTGGAAAAAAATCTCCTCCCCATCTCCCGATCTCTTTTTTTTCTTTTTATTTCTAGAAAAGTAAATAAACAATCTAAATTCCTAATCACAAAAGGGAACAGATCTAATCTCTAATCCCTAATTTTACTTAAAAAGTTAAAAAAGTTTCCGTCGTCCGTATATAATAAAAAACCATTATATGGTACAAGGGGCGGAAAAATCCAATTTTCTAATTGTGGTAACTACAACGATCCATATAAACATTATCATTAATATGGTTATGCATGAAAAGTGTATATTGTCATTGGATTCTTTTTACCCGTTGCAACGCACGGGCATTTTTGCTAGTTATTTAAAAAATTGAAGTAATTCTTAATTATTTTTCTATCATTTGATTCATTGTTAAATATACTTTTATGTATACATATAGTTTTACATATTTCACAAAAGTTATTGAATAAGACGAACGGTCAAACATGTGCTAAAAAAATCAACGGTGTCAAATATTTAGGGACGGAGAGAGTATTTGTTACTTCCATCTCTAGATTTGGCGTGGTTGTCCACAGTGTTTCACGTTGCCACGGCCTCCACCATTCGCCGAGATTTCTGACCTTGGCCTCAAGTCTCAACATCTGCTCCTCCAGCCAGATGATTTTCATCTTCCTTTATCATGGCTTTGCCTCCTCTCCATCTTAGGAGATTGAAGCTTCTAGGGTCTAACTCTGCAGCTTTATTCCTCAGCCGACAACTTCATTTGTATTCATTCGTCATTTATTTATTCCTGTACAAGGTCAAGGTGCTTGATGAAACCCCGTTGTGAATAAGTTTGTTCTGCGTGGGACGATACATAAAATAAACTCAACTCTTTTGTTTTTTTTTTCTCTTTTGGAAAGGTAAGCATAAGCCAGATGGACCATTCATGCCGTACGTCGTGCCGGCGCCGGCAGTCAGAGACAAGGGTGTCAACTGCAGGGATGAAGGCCCATCGTATCGTACAACAACTACGGTTGAACGTTAATGCGAGTATGCAACTCACTAATCCGGTGCCAACAGATTGACCCCATCCATTGCCTCAAACGTCGGCTTCTTGCTCTTGTCCCTGTAAAAGGTTCTCCCTTTTCTTCTCTCTTTTCTTTTTTTTAAAAAAAAAAGAAAATGCTGCTTGATTTATATTTTGTCCATGTGTCTCATGTTCTTCTTGCCCCCTTTTCCCTAATTTTCCTAGAACCACAAACAATTAAGAGGAACTGCAAGTAGGTGGAGCAGACTGAATGAGAATTCAATCTCGCCTCTCCGTATGTCCTCCTCTTGTTCGAAGTAATGCCCATATGTGTGCACATTCCAACACTAGGCTCAGTATGAGGCATCATGTAGCAGAGAGAAGAGTTATTTAGTAATAAATATATATGTTCATGGTCGAAAATTACATTTTTCTATCACTGCATATTGCTGCATGAATGGATCATAAGCAGGTGTGTTGTCATCAGGGTTGCATTTACCGCGGTAAACCGCGCGGTTACCGCGGTTACCGCGCTTACCGCGGGGGTACGGTAAGGGGTAAACCGCGGTAACCGCGTCAAATTCAAATAAATTTGAAAAATAATTTGAATTTTTGATAAATTTTGTACGGTTTGTCGCGGTTTGTCACGGTTACCGCGGTTACCGTGCGGTAACCGTGCTTACCGCCGGGGCGCGATAACCGCGGCCCCGGCGGTAAATGAAACCCTGGTTGTCATCTCTAGGCCGGAGCCTGTACATGCATATTTGTACAATAATACATTTTTTATTGATATTCATTGTGTTATCCTTGGTTGATCATGTCTAAGATTGAATCTTCACTTTTATTATCTCTAAGCTTCTGCAATGTGGAACCGAAGAATTGAACACCCTCAACAGAACTAACATTTGGGATCTTTATATTTTGCTGTGCGTGGTGAATTCAGCTTTGGACTTTAAACAAAATCTAAACGCCCAATTAATACATGTTTGATGAAGTATGCGTCCAGCTCTATGGCCTGCCTGTCCTCCTTCCAAGCTGCACTCATTACTGTCACTTATAATATAAATTTATTCTTGTTTCTTATAACGACGTAGATTATTTGCCTGATATGCAGATTGACATGTTAACGAGGTGAGCTCATCAGCTAGCGATGGTACATACAGTTTGAATTTGTGGGCAATTATATGTATTTTCTGGTGCGGATATGTATACAAATGAACATGCCATGTGCTTGCCACTAAGAAATTTGGACTCACGCACATGCTACTCCCAAGAATCAGATTAGAGCTGAAATGATGATTTTCACACTCTACTAAATAATGTTTAACGTTATTCCTAGGAACATGAAAGGCTTCCAACAAAATCAATTAATTATATACTGACATTCGATTTTTAACTATATTTAAGCAAGTCATTATGAATTTTGGATTTAAAGTGATGACCACAATCCAACTTTTTGGTAATTTAATCAGCACTTCATCTCTATGCATCATTTTTTTAGGAAAAATATGTTGAACAAATTTATTCATTTATTTAGCAGCTTGAGAACTCCATTGTATCGAAATCTAAATGATTTTCCACATTCCGTAGATGGTAGCACACAACCTTTTCTATGTAGATTTTTACCGAATTAAGTTTAATTAGGACTATTGAAGTATACCTATATCTTAGCTATAGGTAGTACTATAACACTGGTGGTTTAAAGCTTGACCCATATAAAAAGATTCTTATGCTAGGTAAAAATTCAAAAGTTTTCAAACTGTATGAATAAAAAATGGATCTTTTTTTGCGCGTTGCTGAATGTTCCTTTTCATCTTTCTGTTTGTAGGTTGGCATGTACACATGCTATAAAAGGTGCCACTATTGACTGTACATTACAAGCTGTACACGAATATGCTGGAGATGAACATATGGAGGAGTGATAGACCATCATCTGTTGGTTGCCGATTGCATGTCATGGATGGTTCTATGATTGCCTATTACTCTCTAGAATAAATCAGTTTCAATCATGCGATCTTCTGGCTATAGCTGATAAGTCATGTGCTTTGTGAAGTAAAGCTTGTAAAAATTTGAGAAAACTCTACGCCATCTTTTTTTTAAAAAAAAAATAATTATAATTGCTTTCACAATTCTTTGTTGGATTTGCAACAGTAGAAAAGAGAAAGATAACAAATCGGTGATGCTCCTATTGCCCAAAGATGTTTTGACAAAATGCTACTACTAAATCAATCTTTTATTCCAAACCGATTTTTCTTTGCGATTTTCTTATCCCCCTTATTTATCTTGAATCATGTCGTGAGACAGTACTTAGTTTCCTTTCATTAACTTATATTTCTCGTACTTCTACTTCAATTCTCACATTGTTTTGTAGTAGCTGATTAATTATTGGATGCAATTCATGTGCACTAGCTGTCTCCTTAAGTTCCAGGGAATTTCAAATGGCAGGTTTGGCTTCCCTATCTACTGCCGGCACTGCTTCCTGACTTCCTGAGGCCATCTCAGTGCTGATCAGGGTGAGAATAGAAGTAGTTCAGGGTGCTACCTGCATGAAGTTGTTTTGGAAGAAAAATGTATGGACATGTTGGAGTGTGCAAAATTAGCCTGGTAATTAGAAATTTAAAGCATATGTGATGTTAAATTCAATCACTTATAATTATGTATTTATATTGTTTCTACGTAAAAATATATGTCTTATCTTTGATAGTATGGATCTTTCTCTACCATAAACATTACAAGGAGGTACTTCAAAGGTAAAAATGTGAACATGGGCTTATGCTCTGATAAACATTGCAAGAAGGTACTTTCATAGGTAATAAATGTAAAGTAAGGCATGTGATTTGATGTTATGTTCCATGGGCAATCTTGAAGCAAGTTGGTTTTTAAGTACATCATGAGTAATCCAGCTGTATCACCATGTCCTGTACAGATTTGTTTAATCAAACAATGAAAACTTTGTACAAGCGATGACTTGTATATATGATTTGCACGGCCATGGTGACCGGCTGGCCGGCCACACGAGCTAGACACGGGTTCTTGGACGAGGTCGTGCTTGTGCCGCTGTTAAGCTAGTTCTTCACCATGGTGGATGACCATCTCTCTGATCTGGCAAACAGTAGTTGTTTTTGCCCCAAATCGATCGGTAATTAAGTAGTAGCTAGTTGTAGCGTCCAAATTCAAGGGGTTCTGACTGCACCCTGACATTCTGATAGAGGAGTACTACTCTATTACTCCTAGTGATTAAAAATCAAACCCACAGGCACATCTAGCTAGCTTTATATTATTACCATTAATTAATTCTATTAGAATATACGACATGCATGCATGGCTAGTGGTGCTTGCAATCAAAATCAGAGGCATGAAGTAGTACATATTAATTAGGCCCCTTATTACAGCTTATTAATTATTATGGCTGAGAGCCTGTCAGCCTGAGACTGATGGAGAGTGGCCGGTGGTCGCCTTAGTGGCAGCTGTCCATCTCTTCCATCACGCATGCAGGGGTCAGATTATTCCACCCGCATTTCTTTGCAATGTCCTCGATGCAGATTGGCGGAACCACCAATCCAGGATAGTGGAATGCAATCAGAGATGTCCAGATTTTGTCGTCACTAAGGTCGTCATCCCGGCCTGTTAACACAATACAAACAGAATTAATTAGCGCATGCATGCACAAGTAATTAATTAGGAATAGAAGCGCTAACACAATACAAACATGCACAAGTAATTACTACTAATTAGGAAGAGAGAATCAAGCTCAGCTAGATTGTGAGAAAACATGAGATGGATGGATGGATTTACCTCCCCGGGTTTCGGTAGCGGAAGTAATAGTTGGACAGATAACAAGAACTAAAATAAGAACACCTGCTATCTTCGTCATCTTGGTCGATTTCATCCGATCCTTTGCTCCTCCTCCGTATAAATAGGCTCCAGCCCATGTGACGTGAGTATAATAATTAATATAATGTATGCGAATTTTGCTCAATATCCTCTTCAACGTCTTACTATGTTTTTGGAATTTGGACGTGACTACACGGTAATTAAGTGTGCACATGACCCGTTCGCGGCAGCCTCCGACAACAAGATTTTCTCCTTCCACTAGTAACGTGTACTCCTACTCCGGCCACTAATCATGCATGAGCGGCATGACAGAAATGTCACATTCAGAGCAGTGTGATTAAAGCGAATGCATGTCTTTCTGTCCACCTGCTTGTGCAAGCAACTGTTAGCTAATCCCCTCCTCCACTTTACTGTCTGTGTGCTCATGCAGATTGGTTTAACCCTATAGCTAATATAATTAATTAACTAGGCATGAAAGTAAAACCAATTAGGAAACAGCAGAGAAAATGTGACCTGGTGTAAACGTACATCTATATCTATCTATCATATACTAAAAGTTCATTAAATTAACTTCCTACAAAAACTCCCAAGCCGCCATGTGGTCTCCTACAAACGCTCGTAAACCGCCACATGGTGTTCTAATAAATTAGGAAAAAAAAATCGGTGGACCTACTAATTTTACCCATTAGATCTCCATCTCAAAGAAAAAAAATCAGGTATACCCACCACGATACTCCCCTCCACATGTGGAATCGTATGTCCTCACTAATCCCCACGTATACGAGTTCTACATACAAACCACTATCCACCGATCGCTAATAAGTCATATTGCTTACAAGACATTTCATGCACAATGTACCTAATATAAGAATCAGCTGATATCCAATGAGCATGCATGCATGTCATCTAGCACCAAAGATAAAGAACGATACTCCGCGAGTAACATCAACAACTGATAGGTAGGTAGAGTATGCCACCAAGCTACAACCAACAGTAGTTGACTACAAGTAAACTGAGACTATTAGTAGTAGTGTTCCGACAAAATACACCTAAGTTGTCACGTGACTCTAATAAATTACTCCCTCCGTTCCAAAATATAAGGCACAACCAACATTAACCCAAAGATAAAGAAATAGTTATTATCATCTTGTAGTTTGGATCATCCTAATAAATATAATGCATGCATCCAATAGAATTAGAGAATGTGAGAGTGAATTGTTTAAAAAATTAATAATTTAATGAAGAAGATGTCATAATTAATTGAATGCATGCCTTATATTATGGAACATATAAAGAAAGTGGTTGTACATTATATTATAGAACCGAGGGAGTAATTGTTCTATAAATATAATAAATAAAATAAAACAACTGATCATTGGTTTCCACTTAAATCGATGGACCAAGATATGGTTCGATCATCGGAGGCGTTTTAGTTTATATGGTTAGGGAATTCATGTTCATATATACATGTTTTAGTTTATCTGCAGCTGGGTAGTAAAAGGCTAGTGGTAGCTAAGCAGCCTAGCAGAAGTGCAGAGAACAAATATAACTAGAGGGTGCCCCGCGCGGTGCGGCGGGAAAGCTGGAAAGGACGGCATAAAATTGAAGCCAAAAAAAACTGTATATATACTGAACATAATGTAGCAATTTAACAACCATGAATATACACAACATATAAATTCCGTATATCGGTTGAGATTACATAATAAAATAACCAACTTAGTTTTAGTTGGATCCCAAACACCACATGCAACAATGCAAAAATAACATAACAATAGCACAGAACTGTAGCAAATTTAATTATATTCTTTCCAGATAACATATGTAACATATTGTGAACCACAGACATGATGCAATCTAATGCATTTTAGTTGAGAAGAGTCATGCAAAAGGCATATCAATTATATGTTCCAAAGGGGCCAACAATAGTAATACTGGAATAGACCAATCATTGCTTAAGCAAATGTGGTTGAAAAACAATAAGCATGCATCTTTATTTGTATCCCCATCCACTGGAAACAACGTCATAGTATTTTCTTTTCTTTTTTTTTTAGAATTACCCCTATAAACACACGCACGCAAACCCTACCCCTGTGAGCATCTTCGAAGACTACACAGGAGCCTCGCTGTCGACGGGTACGTCGCCTACTACTGAAAGCACAACGCCGTTAAATTCTGGAAAATTCGCTCCCATGGGGAGTCGAACCCAGGACCTCAGATGCTACTGATGCTCTTGTAACCACTAGGCTACAAGCCCTTTCGCCAACGTCATAGTATTTGTATTCATATCCAGCAAAAAATATCCATATTCATATCTGCTTCCAGATTATTTGCTCCGGATTATACCCATATTTTCTTTGGGAGTGAATGGAAACTATACTCTCTATGAACTAAAATATAGAGGATATTATATATGGCATTTTATATTTTCCTGATTCCCACAAATGACAGCAACATTTGCACTTAGACAATCCAACCAAACCACTAAACTCATTCTCAAGTAGTGCAACTAAATGAAAATTTGAAATACCATATTGTGCTGCCATGGTTTGCTAATTGTAAGTTAGAAAATTCTAAATCGTTATGAGTCATTCATGCTAAAATGCATTTTCAATCATGTGATATAAATTAAATAACATGATATGGTTAGAGGTAATGACAAGCACAACATGTCTATAGATGAGAAGCCCATGTATCAGATGCTAACATTCCATGGCAACATTTAACAATATCATCGACAAGCAAAATAGGACCTATAGAGAGAACCATGATTCTAGATCAAACTGCACTGAAAGGAAATTCTGCCATTATAAGTACCCGACTAACGGAATCAGCCCACCATTTGGGGAATTTTCTTTTACTAATTAGTTTATTAAGAGGCAAGTATTCGATAAGCAAAATAGGACTTAGAGAGAGAACCATGATTCTAGATCAACCTGCACTGAAAGGAAATTCTACAATTATAAGTACCCGACTAACGGAATGAGCCCACCATTTGGGGAATTTTGTTTTACTAATTAGTTTATTAAGAGGCCAGTACTAATTGTAAACAGATTTTCATTTCATCCACTATTATCTTGTCAAAAGTTGAATACTAAAGACAATCCTAGGCACCTGGCAAGTCTTGTAAATTAAATATAATGTGTCAAAGTGCAGTACAGACAAACCAACACCACGAGAATTGCCAAATGGAAGGAAAATTGGGGGAAATAAGAGAATAAAATGTTATCTGAAACATGGCAGTGCATTTATCAATCAAGGATATCTTCAAAATAGAATGATAATCCAAATTCATGACAAATGTAACTTTCAACCACGAGCTCACGGGAGGGTAGAAGCAGAAGAGGGGACGGATCGTTGCCGCGTGGTACATCGGATGGTGTAGATGGCCTTGATTAGCTGTTGATTAAACAGTAATACAGTAACATGGGCAAAGTTTGTAGGAAAAAAAATAAGGTTTACAAGTTGAAAAAAAGATGATGATTTTAAAACAATATTCGATTTTATGGCAGATAACAGGGACAAATATCAGTGCTGGCAAATATGAGACTGGCACAACACTTGATACAATCCATTGAGAAAATGGTGGGAATCAACAATTTCTTAGTAAGATTTTGAACTCACAATATTTGTCTTGACCGGGGCATATGACTCCAACAATGCAATCTCCTCATCAGACCGCTGTAGCGATGAAAAAACTTACAGTATAGCCTACAAAAGCAGAACTATAAATAAACATCTCAGCTGTACAATATGTAGCACTTAAACAGTATTGAGGAGTTAAGTCATCACACCCAACTATCACACCTCTTCAATATTATGTAGGAAGTGATTCCCACCAACTAATTGCACTGTCGTCCTACATTGTGGACAGGCAGCACTCTAACTTTTATCACGCGAATTAGCTGAAGACCTTCTTAACCACTCAAAGAAGCAGCCATTGCTTAAAAGGAATACAGGAATAAGCACCAATCAGAATTTTGAGATAAATCAAAAGTAGCTAGGAAAATTGGCAAAAGTACCAGAAGTTGTGGAGGCATGAAGCAACAGTAACAACATCATCCCACAAATTTAAGCATATGCTGCACTTTGCATTCTCAATACCTAGCACAATCTGACATCGTCATTTAAATAGAAGTTAGTGACTTTTATGCACCCAGGTTATTGCTGTTGATCAACATTCATTTCAACAAAATACCTTGATATTATTTTTGTCCTAGTCATTCAGGCCAGTTATATCAAAGGTGTACAACAGATACCCTGCAAGAAAATGGATAGCATAAATGCATTACATAGTGGTACAGTTCACCTGTCCAACATAACGAAATCACAAAAGGAAAACCATTTGTAATTTGGTAAATTTTTCAGAAGCACAATTACAAACATGCAACCATAGAAGTTTCACTTTCTAAACAGAAAGGTCTAGGAAACAATAAACATTCCAAATGACTCAATGAGTACATATATTCAGAGTCATGTGTAAACACTCATTTGGCTTCATAAAGGAATAAAATAGTCTATTTAAAAAAAATACAAGACCACTAAATAAACATAACAACCAATCTATGCACAAAATGCCAAACTCAAAATACATAATTGTCTCACCATCTTTCTGGGGCCCTGGAACAATTTCACTCCCCGGTTTGATGTCAACTGCTTCTTGCTGGATAACTCTTCCATCGACAATAATTGCATCCAAGCTTTCTCAATGGCACATGGATAATGTTAACGTAAGATAGCGGTCGAATGAAACATACATTACAAGGATGACAAGACAGGCATCTAACATCAGCGAGAATTTGATAAAAGGATTAACGGAAGGTTGCAACACAGTTCCCTCCACCCCCTAAAAAAGAAAAAACTCACCCATGGCCACTCTGCCTATTCCCTGTCTTCAGGGGCTCACATCTATCGATTTCAGATCAGCACGACTCAAAATCAATCAGGTTCAAAAGTTTGGAAACTGAGTTATTATGGTCTTATGGATAAGAAAATGAGGCACTTTGGAATCATTAGGAAATTTGAATCTTTTTTATCCACAGGAAACCTTTCTTTAATTTTGGATAGTGCGACACCGCAACAATTCACATAATCCAAACGACAACAACTCGCATTCCATCGCAATCAGTAAGAACTTTTCTGCATTTTATAGCCTTCGCCCAAACATGCATCATCAATGAATGGCATTTGTACCCCCAATCCAATAAAACAGGATTGCAAAAAAAAAAAAAGCGCATCTTGCCTACGATGTACAGTCCAGAAGAGCAAAGCAGCGAAAAGGGGATAAACCAACCACCAATCACAACAGATACCTCAGATTCCAAATCGTCGCCGCCGACACGTCGCCGCCGCGCCTAATCTTGCACCACGCGACCACCTCCCCGCCGCCATCCGGGGTGACCCGGGAGCACACCACGGCGTCGTCCTCGGCCAGCTCCACCTCCGGGAACACGGAATCGGAGGGCACTACAGACCTGCTGTGCAAGCAATGGCCAAGGGCCCAAGACCAACGAAAAGGTCAAGAATCAAGAACCCGTGAGGCGGAAGAAACCCAAGAAAAAGGAAGGGGGGAGGAGGAGGGTGGCCGCACCTAGCTTGGCCCAGACGTCACCGGCAGCGTCCGGCGAGGAGGACGCGCAGGGCTGGGAGCTGGAGCACTCGCCGGCGGTGAAGAAACCCTAGGAGCTGGAGCACTCGCCGGCGGCGAAGAAAACCCTAGGCGCTGGAGCACGGCGGCGGCGAACAGAAGCAGCGGGAAAGGGTTCGATGGTCGAGAAGAAACTAATCTCGAGCTGCTCACGGTCACGGGAGGGTAGAAGCGGAAGAGATATTGGATATTTGGATCCTTGACACACGCTAGATTGGACGGTGCAGATGGCATCGATCAACTGTTGAGAGAACAGTAGAACAGTAATACAGTACCTGGGGGCAAAAGTTGTAGGCAAAAGCAATAGGTTTTATATGATTTCATCAGTTTCACTCTCATCCAGCTGAGAACCAAACGTCTCCGATAAATTAAGGAGACAGTTCAAGTCAAAAGGAGGGAGGAAATTAGGGCAAAAGTTGATGCTAGTGAATCTGAAATCCACAAAGAGAAACGATTGGTTTTTGGATCATCTACAGTGATCTAATCCCGTTGCCATCAGATGCATCAGATCAGCCATCGCCTGTTTGCAATTTGCAACGAGGAGCAATGTAGCAGGCTAGCAACTAAAGCTTGAAGCCTGAAGCATGAAGCTAGCTTGCTGCTGGTTCAGAGTTTCTGCTGCTCCCCCGCGGCCGCCGCCGCAGTTAGTTCCGGTTACCCGTGGCGGCGAGGTATCTCTGGCCCATTGTATATATGGGCCACAAGAAGGGCCAACTTAAATGGGTCTCATGTACGCCACCGCGATCCCTTTATGGCCCAATAAACGCAGGCCCAGTTTTGAGCTTTTGTTCTTCCCTTCCTCAACCGAAGGCCGCAGCAAACGACGAAACAAGATGGCGTCTTTCTACCGCGCCGCCGCGCGCCAGTCGAGATCTCCGGTTACGAGCTCGTTCCAGGCGGCGAAGCATCCGGTCTCTCCTCCCCGCCTCCGCAGGTCACGCCCAAAGTACCTAGATCCTGACTGTTTCAGGTCCTTCGTGGCGGTGGCAGCGGCGCTGGCGAGCGTGGATTCTTTGATGCCGCTGCACAGCGCGGTGGCGGCGGCAAGGCTGCGGTCGTGCATCGCCGCCGATTCGTCCTACCGGAGCGGCCTCTCCTAAGGTCAGGGCTCTGCATTCCTTTACCTCTGTACTCAATGTGAAAACTGCTAGTGGTTGTTTGGTTTTTTTTAGATAATGGATTAAACCGGCCTCTGCACCTAAAGGATGTACATAGCCTTACGGAATAGGATCCTCTGACGTAGAGCAATCTACGTCAGAGGGACGTCCGATGCCACTATGCCGCTCGATCGCCATCCAACGGAGGTAAACAAGCACAGCGGACCTACTGGCTTCTTTTCAGCCCACGCCGACCAAAATCAACCCACGAAAATGGAAGGCTCGCTCCCGGCCGGCCGCTTCTCTCGTCATATGCCGCCGAGTTCTTCACCAACGGTGTCGCAGGCCCGCAGCGCAGCATCCTGCGGCGGTGCCGTCCGCATTGAGTGTGTGGTTCGCCTGCACCGACCTCCTGTCGTTGGGGCCAGCGCTTCTGGCGGAGCCATGGGCCATGGCAGCCTAGCTGCCTCCTTGAGCTCACGCTCAGATGGAGCACTGCTGAATCTCACTCTTCTCTGCTGTGGCCAGGACGGTCAGGGCGCGGAGGCGGCCATGGCGGCGCGCGGCCATGGCGGCGCGCGGCCAGGGCGGCGCGGCGTGGCAGCGGTCGGGTCGAAGCAGGCGGTGCGGCGTGAGCGCGACGACGTGGGTGGCCGATGCGGCGGCTGTTCGGGCGGTGCGGCCCTACGGCCGTGCAGCGCCGTGCGGGACGCGGCTGACGGCTATTGTGCGGCGACACACGGCACATCGCCGTACGGGGCGACAGCCGTGCGGGGGCGCATGGGGCGCATGGGGCGCCCGGGGTGAGGCCGTGTGGAGGCGGCACGAGTGTGGCATCCTCGGCGTGGGCGCAGGCGCGCAGCGGTGGTGCTGCTCGGGTGCGGCTGCCGTGCTCACAGAAGAGGATGCTTGTTTACCTCCGTTGGATGGCGATCGAGCAGTGTAGCGGCATCGGACGTCCCTCTGACGTAGATTAGATTGCTCTACGTCAGAGGATCATGTTCCCAGCCTTACTCTGCACCCAAAGGATGTACATAGCCTTAGTGGTTGTTGGTTACAGTAGTATTGCTTTCCTTTTGTCTTGTCTAATGTTGAAATCGCCTTCTTTGACCTGAGATAATTGATTTGTGTTAAATTTCCTTCTTTGTCCTCTGTCTGATGAAGTTTGTTAGCCCTGGAGATCATTGCATTGCTTTTTTTGTTGATGATACTCTAATTTACAAATTTAGAACAGCATATTTATCCCTTTGCCTATATGTTTGTATTTACCCACAAAACCATAACCATTGAACACATACTCTCATGCGCTAGCTGTTCTAGTCTATCTGCAAATGGAGAATTCAAGGATGGCTGGATGGGGATTGTTGTGACGTCTATGTGAGAATTACTTCATATTTATTGCCTTGGCGTGTTTTTTATTCCCCTTTCAATAAAGGAATTTAAGGGCTTCAACCTCACTTTAGGGTGACTCAATTCTGCACTTCTGCAGTAGTGTTGAATAACTAACTTGGACATTCAGAATTGGTTATGCAGGGACTTTTGGGGATGAAAAATTGCTGAAACTATTGTAACTTTAGATTTGGAATGTATAAATAACTGGAGCTGTTGCTGTCAAAATTCATTCTCATCACTGTTTTCGCAATCATCTTCCTGATAGGTTTAAAAAAGCGCATCTGATCCTGGCTAAGGACAAATGTGAAAGAGAATGGATTACACGCTACTGTGTTGTGATATTATGTTTCCAGATCTGCTCTTTCTTTTGTAAGGATAGGGTCCAACGGATTGCTTTTTTAGAATCAAACATAAGTAACCAAGCCTACCAGAGAGGGGTGAATGTTAGATTACGTCAACGGAAGTCAAATAATCGAATCTTAATAGATCAAAACACATCCCACAAAAGCCAATGGAACACACGTTTGGCGGTCTATCCGACCTACTAGGGTCGGTCTGACCGAAGCTTGACCGGTCTGACCGCTGGTCCTCTCGCGGTCTAACCGTCAGCCTGAAAACAACACGACAGCGCTTCGGTAAAAACACGATTTCTCTTAAACCAACCGTTGGATCGAGTTGCAAACTTGACACTAAACAACCTAAAGAACAATTCCACCGGAGGGATTTGTAAACTAATAAACGGTTTAAGAGAAAATACCCTTGAAAATCAGCTCTATCAAAATTTCAGCAAATCTGAACAAAACCTAAAACTTAAGCAAATTCAAATCTAACAAGAACCTGTTTAGGGTAGAAAAATACGAATATGTCCCTCTATGTTTAGAGAGAAAATAAGTGCGGACGTGCCAGTGTACCTAAATACACAAATGTAAAATAAACATAAAAGAGACACAAAAACACATGATCTTTATTAATTGAATTATCAAGATACAGTTTCCATGTATAATAGAAAATACACGTGCCATTGCCTGTCGTTGGACAGATCTGACATCAGCGATGTTGTCTTCTGGTTCCTAGGGCCTCGAGAAGCTCCTGGTTAATTACCTCCGCAGGTCTAGGCCTGCAGGAGAACCCCCGATTAAGCTGCTTGTGGTCGTCTCATCGTCTTTGCTTCACGTTCTCCATGGATGATGAATGTTGGTGAAGATGTGTGATATATATGTGGGCGCCGGCAACGCATCCACGGCCTCGTCGGTCCGTGCGCCAGTGTTGGTGACATAGCCTTAGCGTCGGCTTCGCGCACCCTCGTCGTCTAGCCTCGTCGGTCTTGAACGACGTGTCGGTGTAGATTGTTTGAAGAAGACACGCATGGAATCGCCTAGCTTGGACGGCTCGACGTCATAGCAACAACATCGGAATGGTGTTAAAGGTAAGATGAGTTGGTGAAGTCAGTTGGTGCACACAAGAGCCGAATAAACATGGATGGGCACCTTCTGACTAGATGTGATCAAAGTAATGAAGAATTGACGAAGAAAGTAGGTGTAGACGGCAACCGGATTAAACATGGCTGGGCACCTCCTGACCCGTCATGTCCCTTATACAACAGGGATTTGTAATGAAGGTGTTGATGAAGAAGTCAGTGCAGACAGCAGCCGGACGAACGTGGCTTATATAGCACATCCTTCGGATGATGGATCTACTATTGATCCAGTTGATATGACGACGAGCCCATAAAAGGGGCTCTATGAGGGTGCCGGTAGCAACGGCGACCTTTGTAGAAGTAAATGCCTTGTCGGCAGAACGGTCGAGGAAATTATTGGTGTAGATCTGGCATGAACGGTTCCCTGACATCACAAACGGCACCATTCTTGCTTTATGTTGATGTGGACGAGCGACGCTCCAATACAGCGTCGTTGATCTCGACGAAGAGGGAGAGCATCACGGACAGACAATATCTCATCTTGGCATGATGAAGTGAAAGCATCGTAGACAGATGGCATCTCATCATGCGGTGTAGAGAGAAGGAGACGTCACGGACGGACGGCACGACGACTCCGGCTTGACGATGGTTTATAGGCACCAAGCAGTGGTGCTCCGACGTGATGTTCACGTGACATCACGAACAACTCCAGCATGATGAAGTGAAAGCGTCGCGGACAAACGGCACAACGACCTCGGCTTGATGAAGAGAAAGAATCACGGCCAGTCTTGATGACGGCGTACGGGCCCCTAGCAATGGCACTCTGGCGTAATCCAACGTGCTCCGGCAGGCAGTGTGACAGTGTTTGATCGGCAAGAACGAACACTACATGGCAGTGCCTCAGTTGCATGATAATTGTAACGAGCTTAAGTGCAAGAGCAGCTCGGCGGGCGTCCCCGACGGCTCCGTCCAGACCTCCTGGATCAGGACAGCTCGGCAACGTCGATCCGCGGGTGCTCCGACGATCCGTGGTACGCTCCGGCAAGACGGCGTGCAGGCACCGGGCAGCAGCACTCCGAATGGCGATCTCCTCGAGTGGCTTCATGATGAGCGTGAGGAAGGTGGTAGCACCGTCGAAGATGATTGAGTAGACGTTGATGGTGACCGAAGAAACCGCGACGAGCGTGAAGGCGTCGCCTGAGTCTCGGTGAGACGTCCTCACACAGTAGAGATCACAATGGCGGCGTCCTTAGAGCTTGGCGTCGGTACAACGACAGCCTTTGACAGGGTGGCACTCGGCGGACAGTGTCACCAGCAGCTTGACGGGGATGGCGAGCGTCTGTGCGTTGCCAATAAGGTGGACGAGATGGCCTCCCGCTGCTCTATCAGGACGGCGTGGGCGGCCACCG